AGTTGCTAGTTGAACTAGACACTGTTTTCACGGAACACCATTTTTACTTGAAAGAAAAATTGCTAACTATATTTGTCCAGGTTTAAGTATTTGGCAGACATTTTCTCAAAAAATGAATATAGTGAGACAGAAAAACAACCGACAGCATTTGTTGCCAATATCAAATCTGAGTTTTCACACAAGAGCTGGAAATGTGCCAAAAACATATCTACTACCTTGAGCTAGACAGCATCTCAATACTTAGAGAATTTTCTGATGAGGTTAGTGATAATTTTAAGAAATGTGGTCTTTGGTATTACATAAAATATGTTAACATTTGGAAGAACTGCCTAACTCAGTGAACTTGTATTTTCCAAATGACCAAAGTATGTTACGAAATTATGCATGAGTAAAAGATTAATTCAAAGTATAAGAGAGACCAATGGACTTAAATGTACCACAATAGGAAAAATGTATTGATATAATTTCAGATTCCACACCGCAACTAACCTTTAAAAAAAATACTTGTTGAGATCTACTGTAATATCAAACAAGATTATCCACAAAAATCTGAAAAGGCTATTAAAATATTCTTCCCCCAAATAAATATCTATGTGACACTGGATTTTCTTCTTCTACTTCAACCAAAACAACATATTACAATAGACTGAATTCAGAAGTAGATTATGAAAATATAGCTGTAGGCCAGGCACAGTGGCTCATCCTTGTAATCCATCGTGCACTTTGGGACCTGAGGCAGGACATTGCTTGAGGCCAGGTGCTCTAGAATAGCCTGGGCAATAGCAAGACATTGTACCTACAAAAAAATAATAAAATTAGCTGGGTGTGGTGGCACAGGCCTGTAGTCCCAGCTACTGGGGAGGCTGAGGCAGGAGGATTTCTTGAGCCCAGGAGTTTGAGGTTGTAGTGAGCTATAATGATGCCACTGCACTCTACACCAGGCAAAAGAATGAGACCCTGTATAAAAAAAAAAAAGAAAAGAAAATACAGCTGTCTTCTACTAAGCCAGACATTTAAAAGAGATTTACAAAAATATAAACTGATGTCATTTATCTCACTAAATTGGTTCTCAAAGACAGTTATTCTTCCTTTAAAGGATGTTATTTATGTTAACACGCAATAGGTTACTACTGGTATTGTTAAGTAAACTAATTTTTTTAATTTATCAGTTTTAATTTAAAAACAGAAAAATGTATAATTTATATTAATAGATATAACCCACATTAAACTCTTTTGAGTTCTCAATTATTTTGGAGAATGTAATGGGCTTCTAAAACCAGAAAGTTTGAAAAATGCTGCAACCCAAGCCAAAAACTGATTCTTTGAAAAGATTAAAAAACGTACATAGTAAACACCTGGCAAGAGTGATCAGTGGAACAGAATAAAGAGATCAGACAAAGACGCGAACATATATGGATACCTGGTGTGACAAAAATATTTTAAAAGAGAAGGCACAAATAATTATGTCAAAAATAAAAAAGAATATCACTACAGATCCTGTTGACATTAGAAAGATAAGATTATTTCATGAACTTTTATTTCATGCTAATGAATTTTCAAATTTATTAAAATGGTAAATGCCACAACATACCAAAATAGGTGACTTATAAAATATAGGAACATATAAATTGTCTGATAGCCATTAAAAAAATAAGTAAATAAAGCTTTCCCACAAAGAAAACTCCAGATCCAGATGGTTTTTCTGAAGAATTATACCAACCAATTAAGAAAGAATTAACAGCTATATTATGCAAATTCTTCCAGACAAGAAAATGTGGGAAAATTTTCCAGCTCATTTTATAAAGCCAGCATAACCTCACGATAAAAACCATACAAAGGCATTATAAGAAAGTAAAATTATAGGTCAATTATACTCATGAACAAAGATGCAAAAATCCTGATCAAAATTTTAACAAATTGAATATAGCAACTTTTTAAAAAGACCATGGCCAAGTGGGTCACGAACAAGTAGGTTAATCACAAAAATGCAAGATTGACTGAGCATTAAGAAGTAAATCAGTGTATTTTACATTAACAGATTAAAGAAGAAAAAACTTATGGTCATGTCATTTGGTGCAACCGAAGTATGTGATAAAATTTAACATCCATTCAAGATACAAATTCTTACTTAGAACATGAGAAACAGAAGGAAACTTCCTTAATCTGATAAAAGTTATCTACGAAACACTACAGCAAACATCATACTTAATGGCCAAACAGTGTAAGATTTCCCTTTGAGATCAGGAACAAGACAAGGATGTCCTCTATCATCACTTCTATTCAGGAATGTACTGGATGGAGGTCCTAGCCAGAAAAAGTAAGGCAAGAGAAAGAAATAAAAAGTATAAGGATTGGCAAGAAAGAAACAAAACTCATTATTCACAAATGATATGATCGTGAATATAGAAAACTGAAAGTATCCACAGAAAAATTGTTAGAAATAAGAGTTGAAAAAGATTATGAGATTCACAGTCAATTGCATTTTTATGTAAACAAATGCATTGAGAAAATAAAACTGAAAAAACAAAGACACCATTTAAAATGGCCTCAAAAATATGAAGTATCTAGTAATAAGTCCAATGAGAGATGTGCAAATCCTTTACACAGAGAATCATAAAACTTCACTGACAGACATTAAAGGACTAAATAAATGAAAATTTATGCGATTCTCATTATCTGGAACTCAATTTTGTAAAGATATCAATTCACCCCAGATTTAAAGTGAAAGTAATCACAATAAAAATCCCAACAAGATTATCAATGTGTATCTATAACTTGACATACTGATGTTTTTAAGTGTATATGGAAATGCAAAGGACCATTAGCCAAGATAGTCTTGAAAAAAATAAGGAATAAGAACTTCTCTAATATATATCAAGTGTGACAAGATAGTGGAATTTATAAAAACAGATCAGTGGAACAGAATAAAGAGATCAGACAAAGACGCGAACATATATGGATACCTGGTGTGACACAGGTGGCATGACAAAACAGAGAAAAGGTATTTTGTTTCGTTTTTCCAATAAATGAAAATGGGACAGAGCACTATCCATATGGGAACAAATGAAATTGAACCTATTCCTCACACTGTTCACAAAAGTAAATTCTACCTAGTTGGTAATCAAGTTCATGACAATACCCACATGAAGAACTATTTCAAGTACAAAAAAAACCTTCCTGGTTAAATATCCTGAGTGGGATGTATCTTAGGGACAAGTATCTTATTGTTAGCGGCAATTCTGGTACTGTTATAATTGAAAGTATTTTTTACATATAGTATAATAGTATAAAGCAAATAAGCAACTATAGTAATGTCAATAAGTAACCAAGATTATTAGAGGGAGAAGATACTAATATATAAAATCAAAACTAAGTAAAAATCCTTTCCTGAAGTGGAAATATCACTAAGAACTCAATACTTTCTTTCTGTTTTTGAAGATATGTTTACTTTAAAGATGTGTTACTAATCATGCACACTAAAAAGGCCTGGAAACAATGAAAACTTGGTAATAATGAATGCCCCGAGTACCCAAATTGTGGTCTCTAAATACTAATTCCCATTAAATTAAAAAAAAACAAAAACTTAAAATATAGCTGATTCCAGTTCTAAGGCATAAAATATAATTAGCCTGACATCTCTCTCAAATCCTGAAAGCCAAGAAGCTATAAAAGAATACTAGAGTCACATCAGAAGGACACAGGAGCCAAATGAAGAGGCTTATGCTGATCAAAGAAACAAAATTTGAACACCACAAAGAATTATTGCAAAGGATTTAAACACATTAAAAATATAAAAATTTGTAAGTTCAGATAAAAAAAGAAAAAAACCACTGGTCACCTTCATAGGTTACTAGAGACCAACTAGCTATTCTGAAAATTGACAAAGTTAGAATCAAGCCTTTATCATGACTTTCCTATATGGACTCTCCAATTTCAGGATAACCAAACATTTGGTGAAAAGAAGTTTTTTTTTTTTTTTTTTTTTTTAAAGAATTATAGCTAATAAATGCAGGAGGAATTGTAAAATTAGAAATTCCCCACACTGTGACCCCAAAATCAAATAAAGGATCTCGTCAACAAGCATCAGTGACTACAAAAACCATTAAGTGAAAGGTAGATAGGGAACTTTAAAATGTACTGATGCTGGTATCAACTGTACCCACGGATCAATCTTAACGTTACTAAAAATGGAACCACCAAACTGATGTAATACAATAGGAAATACAAAGCACCACCAATGAAATACTCTTGACAAAACAATTCAACCTAACTCTAATTTAGTCTCTCTAATTATCAGTTTACATGAAATAAGAGAGACAGAACATATTAAAGGACCATAAGGATACAATGAGCCAAATCCAGAATGTGAAAAATTCTACAAAACATATGACCCAGTTTCTTTAACAAATAAATGGAGATTTAAATGGATAAACTGATACAGATTAAAAGAGACTTAAGACACATATCGACCAACGCAGTATGTGGACTTTGTTTGGATTCTGAGGCAAACAACTTTTAAAACATTTAGGTTTTTTAGATAATTAATAAAAATTGAAAACAGATTGGGTATTGAAAGACATTACAAAATTACAGTTAACTTCACTGAGTGGGATAATAGTCCTATCTGCTAGAGATGCACATTGAAGTATAGTATTTACCGGTGAAATTTTATGAAGTCTGGAACTTACTGTGAAATACTTCAGATTTATTAACAAATTACTTGTGCAAATAAAAATTAAAATAAATAAATAGGTGAGTGGATGGGTAAATGAATATATTAATAACTTCCTCAGGGTAAGAATCAACTCTAGGTGAATTAACTCAAATTAAATATGAAACCAAAACAATAAAGCTTTTAAAAAGATAATACAGAATACTTTCATGTTCTCAGAGTAAGGCAGGATTTACTAAACAAAACTCAAAAATCATTCAACAAAAATGTGTTATACCACATATAACTGTAAAGACTGTCTACTTCATACTATTTTAAAGGTACTTACTGCTGGTAAAAGAGACTGCATATTTTGATTAGAATCTGCTATTGTAGCAAGGTATACCAAGTTTGTATGCAACATCTGCTGATACCTATTAAAACAAAACAAATATCCATATTAAAAAATAATTTTCTTCCTAACTGCCTAAATACAAACAACATTCTAATCATTTCTAAAGCTTAATAAAAGATTTGTTACCTGAACATCAATAGCACTTCAATTTTTCCTATTTCCTCTGCAAAATAATTCCAAATAATAAATAATACATTTAAAGATAATAACGAACACACAGATCTTACCATGTGCTAGATGTTGTTATAATTTTTTTATATGCTTATATAACTCATTTAATTCTCAAACCAACACTATGAGGTAGGAGCTCTTTTTTCCATTTTACAGATGAGGAGACTAAGGTTGAGAGGTTGATAACTTGTACAAGATTGCATAGCTAGTATATGGAATAACTGATATATGTAATAGCTCCATACTGGTACATTTAGATTTTGTTAAAAAGAACTAAAATAAAGGAATTCAATGAAATATGTTTATCCTTTCCTTCTGCCATTTTCATTTTGTCAAAAACCTCAAACCCACTCAACATGTTCTGCTGAAATGTAGAAAAAGGAGGTAAGAACCACACATTTTTCCCTTCTCATTTCTGCAGGAATGACCAACAACTTATGCCTGCTATGTTTATACTCTCTATCTATAAGGAGTCAATATATACCAAAGACGATGAACAGGTAATCTCCAACTACAGAAAAAAAAAGAGATGTGCTAAAACACAAAAATGGTAGAAATGATAGGATTGCTATCATTGCTAAAGAATAACTTGAAGGAAATAAATTCTCCTTATTAGCATGATGTATGCTTACTATAATCTTACTTATGAATTAGTTTAGCTAAGCCTCTCTTCATAATTTTAAAAATTAACTCAGCTAAACCCATATTAAAATAAGTATTGATCCAATTACTAGTATTAGATCTCAATGTATGCATATAGTAAGCTCCGTAAATACAAACTTTAAAACCCGCATCAAATTGTTAGGCTGCCTTAAAATTTCATTTACTAAAAATACTAAATACAAATTAAGGCAATAAAAATAAGTCAAAAGAACTTTATTCAGCTGAATAAAGTGCTCTAATTCAGATCTCAAATGAAGTAATTTTCCAAAATAGACACTATAAAAGAAATTCTAGTATATTTCTTGCTACTTATTTTTTTCCTGTTACAAACAACTAGTTTCACAGCTTTTTTCTTATTAGGAAAAAAAAATTTCTCACTGACCTTAAAATACAGTTTCCTCACTAACAAGACTTTTAATTTTAATGGTCCTCCTCACATGTACACTATGTTGCCCAATCAGACCTAATATATTTTTGATAGTGATCCTTATATAAATAAGGACACAGTAATAATTATTACAATGTATAGAATCATTCATAATGGCTAATTATGTTATTGAAATTCTTCAAACAGCACTAACAGGGACCATTAGCTGTAACTGTTTCATTATCCGGTAGAGACCCTGAATGGAACGTAAGATACAGGTTCCATATCTTGCCATTTTTTAAAAATCAACCAACCATGTTTGATTAGAATACATACTCATTTCACAGTCTACTCCTTTAAGTTTTCCTTTTCTTCTGGGTATTAATTACTATGGCTATATTATACTCAGATACAAGATTCACTGAGGACCACTAACCACCCCACCAAAAATCAAAATACCAAACCATACACTAAGAGACATGGTTCATCTGTGACCCTTTAAGAAAATATTTTAGTATCATGCTGATTAATACTTGATAAACCAGTGGTAAACTACTATTAAATCTAATTTGCCATATTCTTAAGGTCTAATGGAATTAGAACAGATCTCTAAAGTCCCTTGCAGTTTTAAATATCTTTAAATGCAGTATCTTTTATGAGTTAGTTTAATTTTAAAACATCTACTCAATCTTCCCCCATCAAATCTTTTTAATTTTGAAATAAATTTAAACTTACAGAAGTTTCAAGAATAGTAAATAAGTCCCATATATTTCCTCCAGATTCCTTAATTATTAGCATTTTACTACATTTCTCTTACCATTCTGTCTCTAAATAGCCACACCAACACATACACACTCATTTTTTTCCAAAACCATTTGAGAATCAGTTGCAGACATAATACTCCATTATTTCTAATACTTCAGTGTTGACTTCCCCAAAACAAAGCTATTCCCTTACATAACAACAGTACAACCATCAAAATAAGAAAATTACCATTGATACAATACTATCTAATCCACAGAACCCATTCAAATTTCTCCAAGTGTCCTAATACCTCCAGATCATTTTCCCTAATATAAAAGGGTAGGTAAAAAATGAAAAATTAGAACTGGCCTTTTCTAATTTCAACAGGTATTCTTTTCCATAAAATTGCATTTGTTTACAGCATTCATCAAATAAGCTTATTCTAAGACAATTCCAGGCTCAAAAATGAACATTAATAAAAAATGTCGTAAATACTCATATTCTCTTATGTTTGTGTACACAAGTCACCTAAAAAGCTAATAGCAAATATTCCAGAAGAATCTAGACTAAGCTGAGCCTACCGAAATAATAAAAATGTTATTAAATACATATTTTCCTGAGAAACTTAATTGTTTTATTCTATAAATATTGTTATATTTATCACTGAAACAGTTTACTTAATGTATTACTATTTCTACAATAGCATATGTTAATTAAAGAAAAGAGTATATAACCTAAGGGCAGATATTAAAACATATTCAACATCTTATGTCTGATGATGGTAACTATCTTACAAGCTAGCAGCAGATATAAAATATATTCAGTGTTTTATGCTTGATGATGGTACTGTCCTAATAAATACTGACATATATTCCCAAATACCCATGATTATTAACTATAAAATGAGAAACAGTTCACCTCCCAAAGATTCACTTCCCAAAGAGTCACTACATCAATTACTTTGAATAAGGTCAAATAACCTCTATTAAATTTATTGATATAATTAAAAAATTACTCTGAAAAAGTCAGATTTCGTTTTTAAAAAGAAATCTTTACGCAGAAGCTATGAAGAGTACATTTATTAGACATCAGAAACAACTTTTCATAGAACAAAATTACCTTCCTAACTAGAAATTTAAACCTAAATTCCCTTAAATTACAATGAATACTGATTTTTTGCTTGAGAATTATGTATAAAACACTCTGAGATAGAATACAAAAAATAAGAGCTGATTTAAGCAAACATAGACTGATTTAGAAAATGCTCAAACCAAACACCACAGTAGAGCAATAACACATTCTCACAAGTATGTTACCAAAATTTAAACGAAAGAGCCAGGATCGGGGCACATGGACTCTACAAGTGATTCAGACCACTGACTTTTTGAGTACAATGTGAGTGTGTTTGGGTGTGTCTGCACATAGAGCAATATAACAAAAGTATTACCAGTGAAAAGTCTTTGGGTGGTAAGAATATGGTACTAATTCTCTTATTTTTACATATTTATGTTTTCTAATTTTCTACAAAGCACATACTGCTTTCATAAAGAATGTAAAATTATTTGTAATTTAAAAAACACTGTTTCAGGCAAAGTTATCACATCTTAAGGAATTGTTTAATTAATATTAGACTATCAATTCCCAGATTGCAGTCATTTTCTAATGTTTCTCTGTTTTCCTTTTGCTTCTCCTACTATGAGAAACAAGAGCATTAAGACTGAAAGGAGGAATTTTTTTCTCTTTAGTTGCAAACAAATCCTGATAACTTGAGAAAGAAAAGATATCTGAAAAAGATTAAGAATGAAATTAAATCCATCATAAAGGGAAGAATTTAAGATTCTACCTAAGTCCATTTAAGTCTCATTTGCACCAAATGTAAGACAAAACGAGATCTATTCCAATATGCAGCAAATGGGGGAAATGATCATATATTAAAAAGTTGATATACATTAAAAAGTTGAAAATATAAATAAAAGAATACAAACTTTTGCTGATTCAAGTTGGAAAAATTGGTTCCAGATCTGAACATCTACTACCCATGACATTTACTGCTTACTGAATGCTATTAAGAAACTGAATCTGTCCTATGCTATAAAACCCCTTCGCTCTATTTGGAGTTCTTAAAAGCCATAGGTGAAAATAATTAACAGTCACGTTGCTTAACGATGGGGCTACATTCTGAGAAATGCATCATCAGGCAACATCATCTTCATCATGAGAACATCATCAAGAGTACTTACACAAACCTAGATAGTATAGCCTACTAAACGCCTAAGCTAGTCTACTGCTCCTAAGCTACAAACCTGTACAGCCTATTACTGCACTGAATATTGTTGGCAACTATAACACAATGGTAAGTATTTGTGTATCTAAAATTACCTAAACACAGATAAGGTACAGTAAAAATATGGTATTATAATCTTATGGGACCACCATTGCAGTCCACTGTTGACCAAAAGGTTGTTATGTGGTACATGACTGTATCCTATAATAATCAGTGCCTCTAAATTCTGTCATTCCGTGGCTGACTTGAGGTAATGATTTCCCTAACACTGACAATTATTCATAGTTAAACTGAAGAAACAGACCCCCTAATTTTTTTAAAGAATATTTCCAAATATATAGACAAGATTCATCAAAGAAACAATACACATAAATGGAAATGGTTATATAAAATGCAAAACATACAAGAGATTAGATAATAAGAACCTAGCACTCATACATAGTTTCTAAATGTGTCTGTATCTATATATATATGTATCTTTTCTCTCCAAAAAAAGAAGTAGGGCTTAGAGAAATGGGTGATTCCAGACTTGCACAGGAAAAGGTCAAGATGAACCTGGAACATTTTGTGGTATAAGAACATAAGAAAAAGCTCGAAAATAATGAAGACTTATCAAGAAGCCAGCTTGAGGGGCTCCCAGTGGCCAAATCTAGGACAATTAGAGAAAGAAAATAAGTAATAGGGTAACATTGTAACCTAGAGAATATAAGAATGTGTAAATCCATTCAGATATAAAAATGAATGAAAGAATGAATAGGGGGAGAGGAGGAGAAGTTTCTTCCTTATAGTAGGATTCAAATTAAAATAGAAGGAATGATGGATTTAGTCACCATTTGGCAACCACCACAGTAATAACTATTTCAGGCAAAAATCATTGGTGGATATTAAACTAATGTGTTGAAGTGTGAGAAACAGCATGTGTGTGTTTCAAGGTATCTTCCCTATAAGACACATATGAATTATAAAGGGAAAAAAAAGTAACTTTATGGTGGACCAACTGGCAGGCACCACTTTAAGTGATCAAAGTTATCACCAAAATTGGGACAAACTGCTACTGTATGCCTACTAAGGAAGCATTGAGAAGGATACAGCATCACATCTGTGGTACTCCTGCCAAAAGTGCATTACATGAATTTAATCACGGGGAAACGCCAGTCAAATTCTAAATGAGGGACATTCCACAAAATAACTGGTCTGTACTCTTCAACAATGCCAACATCATGAAAGGTTAAAAATAAAAAACAAAAGAAACAAAACGACGAGTAACAGCTCCAAATTAAAGTATAACGAATGAAGAGACATGACAACTAAATGCGACATTAGATCCTGCATTGGATGCTGGACCAGAAAACACACTCTAACAGGACAACTGGCAACATGCAAAAAAACTCTGAAGATTATAGTATTGCATGCTTGATTTTAACAATTATACTCTGGTAATTTAAGAATATGTGCTTGTTTTTAGGAAATACACACTGAGGTTATTAGAAGTAAGAGGGAATCATATCTGCAATTATTCTCAAATGTTTCAGAAAAACAATATGGGGGAGAAACGAATGATAAAGCAAGTGGGCTAATATGATTATCGTTTGAGAAACTTCAGTGAAGGGCATACAGCAATTTCTTGTACTATCTCTGAAACTTTTTTGTTAAGTGTGAAATTATTTCAAAAGAAAAAGTTTTTTAAAAAGATACTACTTTTCACCAATTGGATGTGCAAAAATTTTTTAAAGATGGCTAATGTGGCAGAGATGGTTGAAAACCAGAACTCTGAAAATCTGGTTGGTTGGGGGAAAGCAAACCAATACAATCTTTTTGCAGGGTAATTTGACAATTCAGCATGATCTCTGACCCAATAATTCTATTTATAAAACTGTAACCTACATAAATATTACAAACAATATTTATATACACGTGTTTACACAGATATCAATGTATATATGTTAACGTACAAAAAAAAAATTTTTTTTTTTTGTTTTTTGAGACAGAGTGTCACTCTGTTGCCCCGGCTAGAGTGCCGCGGCATCAGCTCACAGCAACCTCAAACTCCTGGGCTCAAGCAATCCTACTGCCTCAGCCTCCCAAGTAGCTGGGACTACAGGCATGTGCCACCATGCCCGGCTAATTTTTCTATATATTTTTTGTTGTCCAGCTAATTTCTTTCTATTTTTTTAGTAGAGACGGGGTCTCGCTCTTGCTCAGGCTGGTCTTGAACTCCTGAGCTCAAACGATCCGCCTGTCTCAGCCTCCCAGAGTGCTACGATTATAGGCGTGAGCCACCACGCCCGGCCAAAAAAAAATGTTTGAAAAGATACATACTTAAAGCATTAAAAGCAGTTACCCCTGTGGAGGGAAGAGATATAAGACAGTGGGATATAAAATGTGACTTATCTCTACAAACTTCCATACTTGATTTTTTTTACAATAACCATATGACTGTTTTAATTTAAAAAAATAATTTTTAACTAAGGAAAAAAAGAAAAAGTAATGGAGACTTTAAGTTAAATAAAAGGTAAATCAAATGATAGCAAGAGACCAGCACAGCATGAAAACTAAGCAAAGCAAGAGTCAGGGTTGCTGGAAATTATCTGCCCAAAAATAGACCAGTGAGATCTCTAGGAAAGAGAGACGTGCCCAGAACAACAGTGAGAATAAAATACAGCTGGTCCTCCCTATCCACGGGTTCCACATTTGTGCATTCAACCAACTATGCATCAAAAATATTAAAACAAACAAAAAAATAGGTGGTTGCAATCTATACTGAACATGTGCACTTTTTTCCTGTCATTATTCCCTCAACAATATAGTGTAACAACTATTTATATAGCATTCACATTGTATTTGGTAATATGAGTAATCCAGAGATAACTGAAAGTATACAGGAGGATGTACATAGGCTATATGCAAATACTACACCATTGTATATCAGGGACTTGAGCATCTGTGGATTTTGGTATCCGCAGGTGGGTCCCAGAATCAATGCCCCACGGATACAGAAGGATGACTATATTCTAGAGCTACATTGTCCAAACAGCAGCCACTAGATATGATGAAATGTGGCTAATCCAAAAATGAGATGTATTATTCTAGTAAGACACACAATAGATTTTGAAGACTTAGTATGAAAGAAAGAAATGCAAAATATCTCATTAATATTTTTATATTTATACATTTAAATGATACTATTTTAGAAATAATGGGTTAAATAAAACACATTAATATTAATTTCACCTGTTTCTTTTTACTTGTTTACTGTGTCTTCTAGAAAATTTAAAATTACATATGTGGCTCACATTTGTATTTCCACTGGACAGTACTGTCCTAAAGACTTCTGATAAAATAGTCAACTTATTCTACCACATCAGACATATCACTTCAAAATAAGAAAGTCTGGTCCTTAAGAATGATAATCAATTCTCTATGTATTAGATATAAACTTTGCTTTCTCAACCATATATATGAATGCAATTCAATATCCTACATATATGAAAAGCTAACTTTTCCACAGATCAGATTATACACAAATTTGAAGTCATTATTTTACAAAGCAGGGTAAGAAGTATAAAAAAAAAAATGACACCCATCTCCCTGTGAAAGAAATTTTTCTTTTGAAAATTTGAATATTGAGAAAAGTCACACAAAAACTTGTACACAAATGTTCATAGAAGTATTATCCATGATGGCCAAAACAAACCAAATGTCCGTAACTGGCAGATAAATAAAATGTGGTATAGCTGTACAATGGAATATTACTTGGCAATAAAAAGGAATGCAGTACTAATACATGGTTCAACACGTATGAACCCTGGAAACATTATGCTAAGTGGGAAAAAAAAAGTCAGCCCAAACAGACCATATACTGTATGAATCTATTTATATGAAATGTCACGATAGGCAAATCTACACAGAAAGTAGATTAGTGGTTGTCAGGGGTTGAGGGATGAGGGGATGAGGAGTGACTGCTAATGGGTATGGTTTCTTTTTAGGATGATGAAAATGTTCTAAAATTAATTAAGGTGATAGTAGCACAACTCTATGAATATACTAATAACAATGAATTGCATGCTTTAAAAGAGATGAATTATATGGTATATAAATTATATCTTAATAAAGCTGTTACTAAAAAATAAAAAATGTAAGCAATACAGAAAAATGAATACAAAAAAATTTCACATCAGTCTTACTGAGAACACTCTGAGGTCTTTCCTTTATTCTGATAGTCCATTATACACTGAATAAGATGGTTATTTTCATCCAACATCTGAAAAAAATCAGAAAAAGTTTATTATAAATCTAATTTATCAAATAAAAAACTAGAAAACAGGGAAGGAGGGCATTAGTAAACGCTGCTTGTAGAAGAACCCTAAAGTGGATCCCCTAACAAAATACTGTTACCCCAAACCAACATTACATATTATAAAAATCTGCCATCCACAGTTCATATGGACCCGCACAGTTCATATGGACCATACTTTCAATAATTAACATTTTTCCTTCAGATTTCCAGAAATGTTTCATCTACACAGAAACTCAATCTACTTGGGTCTTTTTTATACATACTATAGCTTACCATGGAAAAATCTTATTTTACACCTTTGAAATGATATCATGTTTAATCAATAATCTTATAGTATCTCTATTCCAATTATTCTTTCTCTGAATTACTATCTGAGACCCAGAAAGAAAAATTTGAATTTCTTTTATATTCAAACATTTAATTAGCTCTGCTCTCTGTAACAGAAGCTTTAGCCAGTTAAGACGAAAAGCTAAGAGTCTGAGTTGTGTGCATTATTCTAACACTTTGTAGTAGTAAAAGAAAATTCCATCCTTATCCAGTGAAGTAAAGACATGAAAACTGCAACCCAGGTTTGAGGTTTGATGAGGTAGCTGACCGGTTTCCAAGTTTTATAACAGTATGGTTTTGTGGTTCTACAAATATGGCATAATAATAAAATACGATAATTTCTATGCATGTATAATATTTATCACAGACACTGAGTTTACCTCACAATTGTCTCAAAAGTTTAAAAACAGGCCGGGCGCGGTAGCTCACGCCTGTAATCCTAGCACTCTGGGAGGCCGAGGCGGGCGGATCGTTTGAGCTCAGGAGTTCAAGACCAGCCTGAGCAAGAGCGAGACCCTGTCTCTACTAAAAATAGAAATAATATAAAGAAAAAAAAAAGTTTAAAAACAAAAACATTGATCAGGCAGGGCGCGGTGGCTCATGCCTATAATCCTAGCACTCTGGGAGGCTGAGACGGGCGGATCGTTTGAGCTCAGGAGTTCCAGACCAGCCTGAGCAAGAGCGAGACTCCATCTCTACTAAAAAAATAAAAAGAAATTAGTGGGACAACTAAAAATATATAGAAAAAATTAGCTGGGCATGGTGGTGCATGCCTGTAGTCCCAGCTACTCGAGAGGCTGAGGCAGTAGGATCGACGGGGCCCAGGAGTTTGAGGTTGCTGTGAGCTAGGCTGACGCCATGGCACTCTAGCCCAGGCAACAGAGTGAGACTCTGTCTCGAAAAAATAAAATAAAATAAATTGATCATTCTATCATCTGATAATACTTCAAAGCAATCTTGGTTTTAAGGGTTAAATAATTCATCTAAGTAAGGTGGCACTGAGGAAAGAGTACTGATTGCAGCAATTAAAAGGTCAGTTAGTTTTAGTGCCAGCTTTGCTAGCCTGAGCAAACCACTTAAAGTTTCAGGGGCTCAGATTTGGCTGTAAGATCAACGGACAGGAGATGTTCCTCCTGAACCTGCCCTACCCCTACCAGTATTCAACAAAAGTAGTGGGCACACTACCGTAATCATTCTATCCCAATAAATTTGGTTAATCAATTCTTAATGAAAAACGAAAATCCACTTAACATTAACTGTGACTTTTTTTCTGCACATGAATCACAATTTTCACTTGCTGGGAAAAAAATATTAACAGGCCCTTCTAATTAGTGCACTTATGTCTTAAATAGAATCATCGGAGGACAAAAAGAAATTGTCCTTAAAATGCATTAATCCAATTTCCAACCTAACGATTTCACAACATATATTCTCAACCTAACAAAATTCGCTATTAGAATATGTCATATATCTAATACCAATCTCTTACACCGTAGAATAGGCCTTTAATTTGGAATCCATTTTTCTCTTCACTTCTGAGGATGAAAAATATCTGATCATTCTCTGAATTAATCACCCATGATAAATATTTTAAGACTTATGTAAGAAAAACTTTATTGAAAAAAAGAAAAACTCAGGACTTTTCTCTAGCTCAGAAATAAAAACAGTGAACCCCTCCAGAAACATGTTTTGCGTTCCTGTGTACTAGGAACCGTTTGCCAGGCTGCAGACTTAGCCCAGTGCACTACGTGAAGGCACTGTATTTCCAGGCACTGCCAAGCCCGTTTGTTCATAAAATAAAGCAACAGTTGGGCAAATGTCAAATGCCACACTCCAAAGAGCCTGACAGTAAACAGAAACCGATTAACATAATCTAGGTGCCCTGAGAAGTACTAAAAGTTGACTTTCTTTTTTCCTGTTTTCATCCTTCCTCCTGTGCATAAAACAAAGCAAAAATACTTAAGGTAAACTGCTAAATTTAACAAGTAACTTTTAGAATACTGCCTTGGTCGTAGGCAACAAGGGGTAGAGGACAATAAAGAACCTTTGTGTTCCCACTGGCAGTAACGCGGCAACGACCGCGGCAACACTAGCCTCTAAAAAGGACGCTGCGCCCTGTGTATCACGACTGTATAATTGGTCACGACTGAACCCCACCACTAGACTGTAAGCTCCAGGAAGGCGGGGCCATGGCTCATCACAGTAGCCTCAGCGCTTACAATAGTTGCTCAATAAATACTTGCTGCAGATGTAAATCAATAAGGAGTGATGCAGAAGGGGGCTACGGGTGGAACCGCTAAGTCCATGGGGTTATTCCTCACCGGCCCCTCAGAATCTACTAAGGCTCCCTGTAGCGTCCCCCAAGTTCTCCCGAGAGCTCGCCAACTCGGCCAGAGTTTGCGAGGCGGCGACCAGCGCAGGGACTTCCCTCCGCCTGCCAGGACGCGAGGTCGGGACTGCACCAAGCAGCAGCCGCGCGCGGGGTGGGGCAGGGAGCCCAAAGTAACTCCGGAGCAACGCGCGGGGCCGCGGGCCGCGACACACAGCCCTTCCCAGCGCGGCCGCCGCCGGGCGCACGCGCTCCGCCGCCCGAACGCCGCCCCATCCCCAGAGAAATCAGGCGGCGGTTGTTTGGGCTTTAGTGCTTATTAGAAAAAAGCCTAAACGCGCGAGGGACTCAGTGAAAAAAACCGGTTCGTCCTCTTCCGCCACCCACTCAGGCACAGCCCGCGGCTTGGGTTCCCGTACGGCCGCTTCCCAGCAGGCCCGCCTCCGCCTCCGAGCCCAGCCCTGCCCCCGGAGTCTCTTCCAGAGGCGGGATGGGCCTGGCATCCCCGACCCCGCGAGGTTTCACCTTCTGGATCGCAGCAGGCGTGATCTCCCCCTTGCCTCGCTGCCTCGGGGCTGCGAATGCCACAGACATGTTGCCGCCGTCACCACTCTCGGCAAGTCCCGAGCGCTCCGGGTGAACGGCAAACTGGGGGAAAGACACCGGCCTCTCGGGCTGAACCACCTCGGGAATGCGGGGAGGGGGGATGCTCCAGGGCCGGGCGAACTTTCGGCTGGCCTGGCCTAAAGGAGGAATTCTGGCCCACAGAAGTCTTGTTTCTGTCCGTGTAGGGGGAAGCCCAGCCCCGGTAGAACTTCCTCCTACTTGACTATCCCAGCAACCCTCCAGTTTTCCTTATCTGAACCCCCCGTCCCTCTGCGCTAATGGTAGGGCCGCGCCCCAGTCCTCCCTCCGCTTCAGCGATTCAGGAAATGGTCCCGCCGCCGCGGGAGAGGGAGAAGCTGGGGCAGCCCCTGTCACAGGAAATGCGAGCCGCCCGAACCGGCCCGCCCCCTTCGCGCGGGTGCAACTTGCCTCCCTCTCCGGCGCTCAGAAGCGTCCCTGGAACTGAGTTTCGGCGCTCTGTTGTCGACCTAGTTTAGTTTTTCCAACTTCATCCTCAACCCTTCTGGGAAGTGGCTGCCCCAGTTGTCCGAGCAGCCTGGAGAGGGAAGGAGGAAGGTCAAGACTCGGGAGTCCGTGCAAATCCGTGGAGCATCTGCCGAGATAAGGCAAGAGGTGAAGGATGAACGCGGATTCGCTGGTTTAAATGGCTCGGCTACGCCCCAAATGCGCACCTCCGAGTCCACGGTCTCGAATGCACACCAAATCGTGCCTCACAATTGGAAAGTAACTCTGACCCAAAATTCGGGATTCGAAGGCTGTGTCCAGTACTCAGGGGCAGTCGGCCAACTTGGCTAGAGCGGCCAGAGGAGAAGAGCTCGCCTCTTAGGACAAACCCTTAGCAGAAAAGTGGGTCGATTTCTTCGATCTGGATCTTCGGAATTAAGTTTTGATACAGGGCACCCTCACTTTCTTTTCCAGTTATATACTTAGTGGCATGTAAATTAGGCCCAAGCTGCCAGACTTCAGGTAAGAGAAAAAGCCAAAGTTTCAAAATTATGAAAGGAACACGGGCAAATGTAGGTAATGTGCTGCTGTGGGGTTTTTAATGATTTATGTAAATTTAGACTGCCATATAACACAAAGGGAAAGTTTACATAAAATGTTACTCAACATTGGGACTCAAAAATGAATACCTCGGTTTATATATAAAACAAATTAGAAAAATAAAGAAAAATACATATTTTTAAAATTTATGTTTCAAATAAATGATTTTCACAAAAAGGTCATGAGTTTCATTCATTAAGCAAATTTGGATACGTTCTTTGTGTTAGGCAACAAGCTGGACATGGAACTTGCTCTTAAGGAGCTTATATTTCTAATAGGACTTACATACCAGAAACAAATAAATATGTATGTATGTAAAGTCCTAAGAAAGACTAGCAAGCAAGGGACTAAGAGAGGATGACAAGGGCACTTACTTACATGAGTTAGCATGGAAAGTCTCAATTATATTTAAACTGAGACCTAAAGGATAAAAAGACTCAAACCATCCTAAGAATAAAGGAAGAAAGTTAATACTTCTATTAATAGTAGTTATTCTTAGGCATTTAATTGTCTTTCACTATCCTAAGCCTAAAAGAAAACACTCTGGTATATTTGGACTTAATGTAATTGCATCGAATTGGAAAAACTTCTTTTGAATTCAGAACAGAAACCAATTCTTGTCCACTAAAACTATGTATCCAACACCTGGCATGCACAGCCATGTCTTGATGTTTATACAAAAGTACCTTAGTACTCAGCAGTTATGAACAATATTTCAGTAGGAAAAATAAATCTAAAATAGTCCTACTCCTCCAGTTCTGTCCACTTGGCAGACAGCACAGGAATCTTAAAGAGCAACATGAACCAATAGGAATAGTCTGAATTTCCATATCCCAGAAAAGAAAAAAGTAGTCTAAGGGGACTCCCATTCCAGGAAAGCACCAGAGATAGCTCCCTTTGTTTAAGTTGCAACTTCCCAATAGAGGGAAAGGAAAATCCACTGAGAATAGGTTACAGGTCTGCCTGAGATGTTTATTCCTTCAGAGTAGCATGGTGGGGCCTATGATAGCCACAGCTTCCAGGCATGGATAACCACAGTCTTTTCTGTAATACCATGTACACCATAAAAATACTAATATTTTCTATGTATCTGTTTTCCATCACATAAAATCAGTTAGCATTGATCTAAAGGACCAGCCAGAAATACAAGTGATCTCTCTGAGAGAAAACACTTAAAAAGAACCCTAACCTCACCCTCAAGCTTCCTTGCTATCTTAGTCCATTTGTGTTTCTATGAAGGAATACCCGAGGCTGTATAATTTACATAGAAAAGAAATTTATTTAGCTCACACTTCTTCAGACAGTACAAGAAGCATGACACTGGCACCTGTATCTGGTAAGGGCTTCAGGCTACTTCCACTCACAGCAGAAGGCAAAGGGGAGCTGCCATGTGCACAGGTCACATGGTGAGAGAGGAAGCAGAGAGAGCACCAGAGGGGGAGGTGCCACGCCCTTTCTAAGAACTGGCTCTGGAGGGGACTAATAAGAATGAGAACTCACTCTTCCTCACCATCAGGGAGGGCATTAATCTACTTATGAGGGATCTGCCCCAAATACCCAACATCTCCAATTAGGCCCCACCTCTAACACTGAGGATCAAATTTCAACATGAGGTCTGGGGGGAACAAATATCCAAACTCCAGTTAGCCTGATCTGGAAAAGTAGAAAATTCAGAGAGGGAAGAAGGAAGCCTGGAGGAACTTTCTTAAAATTTTGGAGCCTTTGTAACTTTAAGAGTCCTAAGATAGGTGGTATTTAGAGGAACATAATAAATCCTGTCTCACTTCACCATTAGTTTTGAGGAGAATCCCAAGGTAGGTTGAGTGGTAGCAGAGTTGGTAGGAAAGGAGAATAGAGTCCCCAGCATTTAGTTAAGGAAGAAATGGAGAATGAATATGGAAAGTTGGCCTAAGTCTGTGAAATGACTCTGGGATTTAAAAATAAGCTACTCATGCAACCATCTCCCCAACCAGAAAAATCAGTCCCATTATTTACACTGCTCTTGGATTGAGACATCTAAACAAGAAAATGAGGTCACACAAGCAAGAGGTGGAAGGTTTTCTGGAATAATCCTAATAGAATATATACAATGGCTCAGAATAAGTAAAATAATCTGTGTGAACAGTTAATTTTTGATTTGTCACACTATTAAATGTAAAGTAGATGGATATAACCAAAAATAAAAGGTTAAAAAATAAAATAAGAAAGTTATCCATGTTTTATTTCCAAATGCTTTCATTTTTAAATCGTTTCATATTAATTTGTTTGTATTCTTTAAATATATATTAATGAACTGATAAATTGAAGTGCTCCTGAAATAACAGGGCTGTCCGGAAAGTATCCAGCCATGTAACTGTTCTCATCATATTAACAATGGCTGGATGTTTTCCGGACAACACTTGCGTGCTCAGTATTTAGTGAAACTATGTAATCATGGCATTAAAAATTCTCTGAAGCCACAGATATATATCATGCATGTACAGATAACTGAGATAACTTTACTTTCATACAAGCAATTCTTTAAAACATATTGTTTTATAATTAATAAAACATCTTTACTACCAAGCCTACTGATATTTTAAGCCCCTGTGCTGCCATAAATTCTTAGAATAGATTGGTAAGGCATAGACCAAGTCTGTCTGCTCATAATTGGGCTCAAAGCAAAACCCCTCAGGTAATATCTTTCAAAATATTTCTGCTCACGGTCTCTGTGGCATTTGATGAGTCAATTTGAGTTGTGGCTTCCACAAATTTCAAGACTATAAAGACAGCAGCATACATCTATATATTTATATAATCATCATTCTAGGCAAAAACAAATCACCTTTCCCAATTCTCCATAAAAGACTTTTATTTTTGATACTGTAAAAGATTATATTCAAAGTAGACTATATCAAAGCCTATCCAAGGCATTTTCATCTCTTCTTATAGTATCAAACATTGAGTGAGTTAAGAATGAACTAAATCAGTTATATTTTGGGGTTTAGTGACATAGAAAAGTATTGCTTTTTAAAAAACATTAGTTCCTTATGCATGACTTGGAGGTTGTAGGGAAAAAAATTAGTTCCTACGGAGAAAGCTCTATCCAAACTTACCTCACTGTGAAAAATGCACAGGTTTGGAGCTCTCAATTCTTCTACCTATGATAGCATAACACTAGACAGGTCATTTCTGTACCTCACTTGCCTTCCTGAAAAACTGCTGCCCTATCTAAAAAGTATTAGAAATAATATGTTTAATTATTTATTTAGCTATTATGCACTAGCCACTGTGCTAGTGACTATTTTACATTAGATTCTTCAATTAAGATTGCCTGAATTTTAACAGATAAAATATTTTAAAACACATGGGATATTATAAATCACTAAACAAGGATAAGATTTGTGTATAATAATATAATAAGGAGAAAAACGCACATTTCAAGACTAGAAATGATCAAACGTACTACATAGTGCAATCTACCCTTGGGAAAATTTCTGGCCATAATTTAGATATCAAATGTTCTTTTTTCCCATTTAGCACGTTCTCTGCCCTTGTGCATGATGTGCAGTTACTCTGCCCTTGGTAAAAGAATATAACTGATCTTGAACTATTTCAGAATTTATAGAGAGGATTATAATACACTATCTGTTAAATAATTTCCCCAGGAATGGTTGTGGTAAGCAGAACGTTTTCATCCTCACCAAGATGACCCAGCTCCTAATCACTGAAACCTCTGATTATGTTAGGTTACATTGGCAAAGTGGAATTAAGGTTTTATATGGAACTAAGGTGGTGAATCAACTGACTTTAAGATATGAATATTAACCTGAATTATCCAGATGGGCCCAGTGAAATCACAAGTGTCCTTAAATAGAAAACAGTAAGGCTGAGGAGTCAGAATCAGAAAAATAGCATCTTGAGAAAGACTCAACTAGCCATTGCTAGCTTTGCTGACACGTTGATTTTAGCCGAGTGAGACCTATTTCAGACTTCTAACCTCCAAAACTATAAAACAATAAATGTGTTCT